ATGATCCAAGTGTTTGGGCCCCTGCCACCCATGAGGGAGACCCAGATGAAGCTCCTGGCTTTGGTTTGGCCCAACCCTGGCCATTGCAGCCACTGGGGTAGTACACCAGCAGATGGAATATCTCTGTCTCACCCTCTTTCTCCTCTCTATAACTCTGCCCTTCTAAAGAGTACTTTGTTTTTATAGCCTTTAAAATAAAAGATTTGAAACAGGGTTTGAAATTGTTCTAAACTAGTTGGCTGTGGCTGGGTTAGAATAATCGGTGGCACCTTGAGTCCCATCTCCCACTTCCTGAGTCGCTCTGAGAAACCTGTGTGATGCTGACACTGCCACGCCAGGGACTTGGGCTCGGACAGAGAGGTAATTAGCAGGAGGGCCGGCAGAATGGGAGGGGCTGCCCTCCCCTGGCTCCCTCATCTCTGCTAGTCTGCATTCCCTGCAGATACATCTTCCTACAAGAAAATAACTCCGACAGGACAATTTTCAAAGGAGTGTTAAAAATCTCTTGCACACACTATAATGGATTAACATCACCACTTTTGACATTCTGCTGGGACAGTGAAGAATATTTTTAAATTAGGGTTGCTTCTTTGAAGGTCTTTATAATGTAATACTTGGTCTCTAATCAACAGAGTAACAGAGTCTTAGGAATGACATTTAAGTTGAATTTAATTAAATAGAAATCTCACATACTTTCATGTTCTTAGATACATTTTCTTCATATTAATTAATGGAATGGAAACCATCACGACTTCATTCTCCATACTATGTGTGTTTAGGCAAAGAGCAATGATGGAGAAGTCCTCACACCAAACCTCTAACACTTTGCAAATGCTTGAAGCTAACTCCATTCTCCGTGCAGCGATTCAATATGAGCTGCTGGAATCGAATCCAATTAGTCCCTCAAGTCCAAATAATGTAGGTGCCCGGGGTCAGATGGTTCCCTCCAGGATTCACAGGAGATCCTTCGCTTTGGATTCCTTCAGTTGGCTTGGGCAACTCTGGTGTCAGAGCCATGGAAGTTCAACATTGTAGTCACCAGCTCCGGAAGATCAAAATCGTGTTTCCACCCCCAGTCCTTCCGGGCGTTGCTATCATCAAAGTTCATTGGCCAACTATCCGCTAGGAAAAGATAGGGAAAGTAGCTTAGGTTATCTGGGTTCCAGATTGGCAAACTGGTCTTCAACACTTTATATAGGGGTCTATCATACCAGAAATGAAAGAGGATACTGATATTCCACCTGAGTGCAACAGGTGCAATATGTATGTGCTATTATGCACATACAAATTATGCATACAGTCCTCCACTTAAGACTGCTATACTTGGGGCCAGCGTTGTGGCATAGCGAGGATGCCAGCATCCCCTGCGGGCGCTGGTTCAACACTCAGCTGCTCTACTTCCAATCCAGATCCCTGCTCATGTGCCTGGGAAAGCAGTAGAAGATGGCCCAGGTTCTTGGGGCCCTGCACCCATGTGGGAGACCCAGAAGAAGCTCCTGGCTTCAGCCTAGCCCAGCCCTGGTTGCTGCAGCCATTTGGAGAATGAACCAGCAGATGGAAGATCTCTCTCCCTCTCCCTCTCCCTCTCCCTCTGTAACTCTGCCTTTCAAATAAATAAACCTTTAAAAAAAGAAAAAAAAAAAAAAGACTATGCACATGCTGTCATGCATTGTGAATTTTACAAGTTAAAGTCTCACAACTTTGTAAGGCAGGAATCTTATACTCCAATCGGGGCTCTGGGCCACACGTGGCAGCTGTTCTCCTATCATCTCAGCTGCTTCCATTTGCCCTCACCATCTGTTTTATAAAAACGGTGAAACGCAGACACGCTGTTTGGAGTGGAAGCATTTCCCCCGCGCTAGGTGTCATTCCTCCGAGTCAAAGCCTCTGCTGCTTTCGGCTCAACACGGGCTCCTTCTCCAGGACCCCCGGGGAAGGAGCTGAGCTCTCGTCCCCCTCCAAGGCTGGTGTCCCTGGGCCCCCACAGTGACGGCAGAAGCTTTGTTTAGGCTTGGAGAGTGGGTGCCGCGATCCGTACTGACCTATGGCCTGTCGCACAGGATCCACGTGGTACGTGATCTGGAATTCCGGCACGTGCTTGAGGACCTCCTGGGCCAGCTCCTCGGGGGTGAAGCTCATGGCGTTGACGTTGTAGGTCCTCATGGAGAGGCGCTCGGCGGGTGCCTCCATGACCTCCAGGGTGGCCCGGAGGCAGTCGTCAATGTACATCATGGGCAGCCTCGTGCTCGCTTTCAGGTTGCACTCGAATTTGCCACTCTTCGTGGCATCGTGGAAAATCTGCACGGCGTAGTCTGAAAGAGAACACAACCATGACCCGGCCTCTCGGCTCGAGGCAGTGGTTCTCACGTCTTCACCTCAAAACCTCCTCAGGCCCTGAAAACAGGAGACGTGGCCACGGGGCTTGCAGCAACACTTAACTGTGTGACACAGGGTTCACCGGTTACCTTTTCAAAGGACAAGAACCCCACGTATTACATGTAACATGTATGACGCCTTACATGTCAAGGAAACTACTGCCCAAAGAACGTTTACTGAGAAGAATGGCAGACTTTCTGTTCCGAGACTCTCCTAAGCGTCTGGCTTAGCAGGAGACAGCTGGAGCCCCCTCCTGTGCTCAGACCGTCCCAACACCACCAGCAAGGAAGATCCCACAATGCACTTGTGAGAGGAGGAGGAAGGAAGAGGCGAGCACCATCTCCATACTGGCAGGAGACCCCTTGAAGGGTGTCAGGATGGCAGGCACCTCCAGATCACACCTGAAGAATCATCACAGTTAGGCAAAAGGTTTTCGAAAGTAACCAGAGCCAAAGCCTTCTTAAAAATTGCTCTGATTTTGTTGAGTGTCTCGTATCTCAGGGCTTCTGATGTGAGAAGGATCCTTGATGTGGGAATTACTGAATATTAGTCCAAAATTATAATCCTTACATTCCTTTAAAAGATGCAATGCACGCTTTTTGAGTGTAGCTTAATAGAGCTCTCTTTCTGTTAAGAAACAAAGGCTATGGGTGGGCGTCTGGCCTAGTGGTTAAGCCACTGGTTGAGACCCCTGCACCTCCCAGCTCTGCTCCTGAGTGTAGCTTCCTGCTTACGCAGGCCCTGGGGGGAATCAGGCAATGCACAAGCACTTGGGTCCCCAGCACTCATTGGGGCGACCTGGACTGAGATCCTGGTTCCTTGCTCCTTACTTTGGCCCAGCCCAGTCCCGGCCATTGTGGGCATTTGGGTAGTGAACCAGCAGATGACTGCTCTGTCTGTTTCTGTCTGTCTCTCTCTACCTTTCAAGTTAAAATAAAATAAAAATAAAAAAAAAAGAAAGGCTATGTTCAAAGAAGGAGCCTGCTGCTTATTGGCCTCCCCAAGTTGCGAGTAGTGAATCTGCTGTTGCACATTATGTCTTTTTTTTTTTTTTTTTTTTTTTTTTTGACAGGCAGAGTGGACATAGAGAGACAGAGAGAAAGGTCTTCCTTTTCCATTGGTTCACCCTCCAATGGCCGCCACGGCCGGCGCACCGCGCTGATCCGATGGCAGGAGCCAGGTGCTTCTCCTGGTCTCCCATGGGGTGCAGGGCCCAAGCACTTGGGCCATCCTCCACTGCACTCCCTGGTCACAGCAGAGAGCTGGCCTGGAAGAGGGGCAACTGGGACAGAATCCGGCGCCCTGACCGGGACTAGAACCCGGTGTGCTGGCGCCACAAGGTGGAGGATTAGCCTATTGAGCCACGGCGCCGGCCGCACATTATGTCTTATTCCAGCACCGAGCTCCACCGGGCCATGTACTTTGCCGCCCTTAACAAGCTAAGTCACCAGGGTCCAGGGTGCTTCTCGGACACACATCTGGGAGAGAGTGCAGAACTCCAGATGGCACAGCCGACACCACATAGACTCTTGCCAGCTATGAGAAAGGCTGTCTTGTCTACAAAACAGATGGAAAACCAGCACTCACCAGTTGTGCCCCCTCCAGGTTGCGAATCTGCTGAAATGATCCCGGGGTATCTCAGGCACCGGAAATCTAACCCATACCGGTGATGATAATACTGTGAAAGAGAGAAAAAGTACTCAAAACAGGAATCTTTTAAATTACAAAATTAACTCACAAAAATCTATCAAATTATAAGAAGAAAAGTTGGCCTTTTTCTGAAATATCATGAAGTTATAGTGAAACACTCCAAAAGAGAAGGAAGACTTTAGAATTTTTAGGAGTCATTCACTTTCTTTAATAAACGCCTCAAGTTTAGATCTTGGGTAGTGAACCAGCAGATGACTGCTGCGACACAGCAGCACTGTACAGGACAAATCCGTCTGTGGTAGGGATCGCCACACTTAGAGGAGTGGCGTTTCTGCTCACTGCCCTCAGCAGTTCTGTGTGAGTGTGTTCCTGCGGTGTGGCCTCGGAAGAGGACGGGGAGGGCAGTGGGTGAGAGAGCAATGATTATGAGAAATTAGATACTAGGGCCAGCAGTCATGGCCCACAGCACCAGCATCACATAAGGACACAGGTTCGAGTCCCGGCTGCTCCACTTCTGATCCAGCTCCCTGCTAATGTGTCTGAGAAAGCACCAGAAGATGGCCCAATTGCTTTGGGCCCCTGCACCCATGTGGCAGACATGAAGCTCCTGGCTTTGGCCTGGCCCAGCCCCAGTCGTCGTGGCCATTTGGGGAGTGAACCAGCGAATGGAAGAGATCTCTCTCGTCTGTCTCTCCTTCTCTAACTCTGCCTTTAAAATAAATAAATAAATCTTTTTCTAAAAAAACAAGAGTCAGATACCAACTAAAATGTACTATAGCTATACAAAGAGTATTAGGAATAAAATAAAACCAGAGGCTGGTACTGTGACATAATAGGCTAAGCCTCTGCCTGCAGCACCAGCATCCCATATGGATGCCAGTTCTAGTCCTGGCTGCTCCACTTCTGATCCAGCTCTCTGCTAATGTGCCTGGGAAAGCAGTAGAAGATGGCCCAAGTGCTTGGGCCCCTGCACCCACGTGGGAGACCCAGAAGAAGCTCCTGGCTTTGGATCAGCCCAGCTCTGGCCATCAAGGCCATTTGGTGCATGAAAGGAAGACCTTTCTCTTTGTTTCTCCCTCTCTCTGTCTATAACTTTAAAACAGAAAATATTTCTTTATAACAGAAAATAAAACCAAGAAGACATTCATGGTTTTCCATAGGTTTTAAAAGTATTGGTGACTACCAATGTTGGAAGTCTGAAAAAAATCAGTGCAGTACAAGTCAGACAGGCAGCTGACAAGGCAAGGGGGGCGCCTGCAGACAGCAGGGACAGCTGAACAGCATCAGATGGCTGTGGAAAGTGCCCAGGTCACACTGAGTTCTGCAGGAGCCGCAGGTGCCTGTCACTTAGCAAACGCAGTGAATTATGGAGAGCTTCTCTGGACAAGGAAAGCTCCCCCAAAAGGCGCAATCAGTAGGTGCTTGGGGCAAAAAGAATAGAACAGAAACACAGAAGCATTTTGCCCAACGTGCACTCAGCAGTGTAGCAGTGCTTACCTCTCCCATGAGTTCTGCGTGGACCTTGGACACCCCATAGATGGTCCTGGGTCTCTGAATACAGAGGTCAGGGGTTGGGTTCCGGGGAGAGGTGGGCCCAAAAGCCCCGATCGTGCTAGGAATGAACAATCGCAGATTGTGTTCTGCTGCAACATCCAGAATATTATGCAATCCTGAAAAGGAACAGACATGATCATAATCTGGAAAACAAAAAAATTCTTATCAAAGAACTGGAAAAACTGGTGAACAGAGTTCACCCCAGGCCAGAGCCGGACACTCACCAGTTATATTCACAGCCCTCGCCAAGGGCACATTCGCCTCTCCCACAGCGCTGAGCAAGGCACTGTAATGAAAGACCCAGGTGATGCGGTTGTTTACCACAATCTCCCGAAGGTTCTTGTAGTCCAAGATGTCGGAATAAATAAACGGGCCTGCAGGGAGGAAAAGTGGAACCACAGACGTGAAGAAGCTTCGGTTCGAGGAGCTAAATGAACCCTTCTCCCTCGTCAACCGACTTGTGGATTTCACCGGCATCGACTTGCTCCCTATTCCAGTTGGGCGCACTGCTCAGCGTTTTTCTAAGGAAGAGACAAAATAGCTACACTACCCCGTGGGTAGCACCAGCTAACGCCTCCATGTGTCTGAACTGCTCTGCAGGCTTCACATGTGCTTCCCTGCCACACAGCCTTGGAGGTAAATACAGTTTACTGATGAGGGAACTCAGGTGCAGAGAAGTTGGACAACTGCCGGAATCAGAAAACAAGTGGAAAACTGGTGTCACAGCCAGGCCTCTGGCTCCAGAGCTGGTGCTGTTCACAACAGCCCTACTGATGCAGAGTAATCTCACTCTCTTAAAAACTGCATATTTTAAAAGAAATTGAAAAAATTTGCTTATTTACAAAGCAAAACAAAACTCTGGTATGGTAAAAGCACAAGCCATGAGCTCTTTCTTACACTGCATGTAGAGCCGGTTCTGTTCATTGCCAGTTAAAGTTGTTGCTCTTCCCCACAGCGAGCTGCAAAGGCCTGACCCTGACCCAGGAAAGACCAGGACACTATGATGACGTCCGTGAGGCATATTAGCACATTCGACCAGAAGATTCTGAGCTTTTCACATGTGCAGCCGTGGAAGAACAATTCCACAACATAACACTGGATCACTTCCTCCAGCTTTGTAAAGGTCCTAACCCTCATTCTATTTGTTTTAGTTTTCTTTTTGCCAATGAGTTAACTAACACCTCAAAAACAATCAACATTTTTATTCCAAAGATATTAATCCAAATATCAAAAGGTATTAGCCCAAAACTTTCCCCAAGCCTAAAAGACTCTCCTTTGCCTGTAACCACTTGAACAAGCAACAGCATGAAAAGTATGTAAAATATTTTTAAGGTACAGTGGAAGTAGGGCAAAAAAATTTAACAATGTAAAAATATCTTTAAGTGACATAACTGTGCCTTGATTTCCCCAGTTCACAGACGTGGTTAGAAGCTGCCACACCTGCCGATTCTGTGCGTTACCTCTTTAATTGCAATTTAAAATGAAAGATACAAACAAAAGCAAGGCCCACTAATCTCTTACCACTGTGGAAGACATGATCAGGGGGTTTCCTTATGTCAGACAGAATCACGTTGTCCTTCCCGAATCGTTTCCTAGTGGGGAAAGTTAAAACATCCACGTTGGTAACGTCTGGGATGCCCTAAAACATCCTATGTTTTCAATAGGAGCTGTAATTTCTTGTCAGCCTACAGATCTGGACACAAACACCTGTAGTTTTGGCCTCTCTCATGCTCAAGCCTCTTTCCTTGCCCATAACCCCGTCTTCTCTTTCTTCCTTTTCAAAATGTTTATTTTTCTCTAGTTGAATGGCAGAGAGACAGAGAGATCTTGGTTTACTCTCCAAATGTGGGCAAACAGCCAGGAACCTGGAACTCAGTCTGGGTGTCACGGCTGACAGGGACCCAAGTACTTAACGGCATCACCCACAGCCTTCCAGGGTGCACCTGAGCAGGACCCTAGAATTGGAAATGGAGCTGGGACTCAAATGCAGGAACTCCAGTATGGGACATGGGTGTCCCCACGTGGCACCCTAACATCTAGGCCAAACACCCACCCAGTACACCTGCTGTTTCTATCATACCCATGGTCAACCTTATGTTCACCACCAATGCCCTCTTCTACCCCTGGAGTTCTTACCTCTCCCTCCTCATTCTGTTCCCCTCTTTTCTTATCCTTTTATCTCATGATTTCCAACTCCCACACTGTCTGTCCAGTTTCTACATCTACTTTCTTCTGCCTCCAAAACAACTAAAAACCAAGTGACTCATCTGGAGTTACAGCTCTCACTTTTCCCAAGTTAGCAAAGACAGCGAGCAAAAGGCCAGTGTGTAGCCGAGGCCCGCTACAAGCGTGTGATAGTGAGAGGCAAAATGAAGCATATTTTAAATATTTTAGGTGTCTTTAAAAAGTTAAGGGGAGGGGTCAGCGCTGTGGTGTAGGGGATAAAGCCACTGCCCACAGTGCCAGCATCCCATATGGGCAATGGTTCAAGTCCCGGCTGCTCCTCTTCTGATCTAGCTCTCTGCTATGGCCTGGGAAAGCAGTGGAAGATGGCCCAAGTCCTTGGGCCCCTGCACCCACATGGGAAGACCTGGAAGAAGCTCCTGGCTTTGGATCAGCACAGCTCCAGCCATTGTGGCTACTTGGGGAGTGAAATAGCGGATGGAAGACCCCCCTCTCTCTCTCTGCCTCTCTGTCTCTGTGTAACTTTTTAAAATAAATAAATGAATATTTAAAACAAAAAAAGGGAGGCAAAATGAGAAAGAAAAGATGACTAGATGGCGCCAAATACAAGCTTGACAAACTCAAAGAATTAACATTTTACATTTCAGGCTTTAGGGCTCTTACCTCAAAAGGTTGGCAAGCCCAACTCCCAGCTGGCCAAGACCTCCTATAGGGAAGAGAAAAACAATGAGACTTTAATCCAAATGTAACCTGTTCAATCACTCCCGGAACTGAATAACTGAATAACACTATTTTTCAACATCAGCCAACCGAATGAAGTCCTGGGCTCAAGCGAACAATTTCCACTGACTTCACTTGTTGGCAACACCATATAGCACTGAGGACATACAGCAGCCTCCTCCAAGCTAGGACAGAGTTCAACATGGGCGACGTCAGGTTTGGAGGCAAAACTGTCTACAGCATGGAGTGGCTTGGAGGAAGAGCAAGGGAGCCAGGCAGGCATTCACCCCTGGTTCCCAGCACTCTGATGGGCTCTGAAGCCTGTCTCTTAGCAGTGCCCAAAACATTCACAACCAAACATAAATGGTTCGACACCCACCTCTGCAGCAGGTACCCAGAATCCCAACATCCATCAGAATCAGACTGTGGTATGAAAGGCCAAGAAGGAGGACAAGGCAAGAAGTCACTTGGAAAAAAGGCAGATAACCAAGTTGACAAGGAGCTGCTGAGGACGTTGAAAATGAACAGTACAGTGTCCTAACCTGGAGGCTTAAAAATGCTGGGGAAAAAAGCAAAGGAGCCAGGGGCCTGTGAGCACGGCCCAAGGAAGACATCAGTAAACTTCACACGAGAGATCGCTGGGGCAGGTGGGATTTCCTGTAAACATTTGCATACATGGGCCTAAAATCAGGATGCCCAGGGAGAGGCCTGGCAGTGCAGGTGGGGAAGAATAAAACACCCACACAGACGGCAAGATGCTCTACCTAGGGGGCAAGAACAGAGGGAAGGAAATCCACTGTGTGTGAGAAGGGGAGGAGACAGTGTGAACACGAGCCGTGAGGGAAGGTAAGACAACGCCAAGCCCAGGGAGTGACACCTGGCGCCAGGACAAGCAATCCAATCAACAGTGAGTCTGGGCTGGCTGGGAGCCCTCCACAAATGACAGGGCAAAGGGCAGAGTGAGGGAACAGAGTAAGGCGCTGGGCACACAGGAGGGAGGAGGATGGGGGAGCCCAGGATCCGGTGACTCGCCCAACGGTGACAACGAGCTCAGGATGGAGCTAACTTTCCTCTCTCACTTCCCACACACAAAGGTGCAATCAACAGTTTGGGAGGCACCATACGGAGTCTAGGTTGAGGAGTTAGGTGAAGAAAAGCGATGCCTGGCTCCAAGTTTCTAGGTCATGCACCCATCCTGTCCATTAACCTTTGTCTCCCAGACCAATCCTAATATGGGAGGGAACCAAGTTCCAGCGCAACAGCTTGGCCCCTGGAGTTCCAAGGTCCCTTCAGACAATGATGACAACAGAAGTCAAGAAAACCAAGGGCTGGCAACAGTGATGCAAAAACGATTTGAGCCTTGAAATATTCTAGAGAAAGCCAATGGTGGAAAAGGCAGTGTCAGATCAATGAAGGTTAACGGTCTAATTGAAGGTTTTATGTTACAAATGTCTGACTCTGAGATGCTTTGCACAGCATAGCAAATAATGCACACTCTGGAAGTCATCTAGTCCAGCTTGCTTTTGCTCCATTCTCTGCTACAGGGACAAGCAGGATGGAGAGGTACTGACGGCGAACTACATATTCCAAAAACAAAGGCACATCTACTCAGAAGCCACACAGAAAACAATCAAGCCAGCAGCATGGCAAAAAGCAGAGGAGGACCAGAACACTAACCTGTAATCAAGACCCGTGGATGGTCCGTTTCAGAGAAAGAGGCAGAGTGGAAGTTGGCGTCCACAGGGACTTGCCGAGGGGAGACACCCAGAAACCGGACAGGCACCACGGAGGTCCGGCAGCCACAGCATGGACTCTGCATGGCCTGACTCAGCGCTTGCCTCAGCATCCTAACGACTGGCATGTTGTCCTCAAACGCTCTGTAAGGAAAAAGGAGCAGAGTTAGCCCTTTATTCCCCTGGCCTCTGAAGGCAATACAATCTCACTGAAATTTTTTTTTTTATTTTTATTTTTTTTTTTACGTTTTAAGCTTTTATTTAGTAAGAAAGGTGCACAAGAGAGTGAGAGGTTTATTTAGGGGAGAGAGGTGAATAGGGGTTCATACCAAGCACCAGGAACCAGCCATGTGGATGAGCATCTAGGCCAGGAAGCCTAGAGCACATGGCCTGAAGGCCATGCGCCCTGGAGGCGCAGGGCTACAGCAAGCCCTGTCCTGGCAAGAGGCCAGGGAAAAAGAGCAGAGAGCCAATCTCACTGAAATTAACACCAAGATGGTCGACTAATGACAAAGCCGCACTTTGGGATTACAGGAGGTGAACAAAAAAGACTGCTGAGCTTGCCAGGAGAAAGCCATCAGGGGCTGGCTGGGAGCTGGGTCCTGCTCATACGCAGATTCAGAACCGACACTGCACAAAGCTGACACTTTACCAGGTTCGAACACAGCAGTGGAGGTTATGATGCAGAGTTATAAGCACCATGAAAGCAGCCAGTGGCGGCTCAGGTTTTCAATCTTGGCTACAACTGTTACTAACTCGTCTGAGCACGGAGGGTACAAACCAGTCCCCGACTGAGTAACAGGGTCCTGAAAATCCTGTGCTAACACTCAGATGCTATCTTTGGAATGCACCATACTAGAGGAGCAGATGGTTAGAAGCAAAAGGCCCACAGCAGTGTTTAGTAAACTGTGGATCATTTTTGTCTTTGCACGTTCTTTCTCGTTGCTTCCAAGATCATGTATATATTTGATGGACTCCAACTCCTCTTTCCTCAGCAGTCTGACACATGGCCTGAGACTTCCATTTTCCCCGGTACACTCCCAACAGCCAGGCAAGCGTGTCACAGAAGTATACCAGAGCCACCCAGCTTGCTCCGCTGGTTCTGACAGCAAACTCCCCACCCTCCCTAAAGACAGGTCTCTCCCATCTGCACCCCGACTCCACACATGGGGTGGATGAGCCTTCTCTGGTGCCCTACCCCACACAGTTAACAGAGTTCACATCTCAACCACCTCACAGCTTGCACTGAAGGGGGAAGTGTGAAGCACGTTTCTAGCAAATACTGAACTTGTACTCAACAAGGCACCCGAAGCTGTCCTAATCGATCCAAGGCCGACTTATGGAAAACAAAAGGAACATGCCGACTTGTGAAAACACACACTTTCACAGCCCTTATGAGTCAGCAGGGCTTTGTTCTGTGGTTTGTTGGAATAAGGCGGGAGGAGCCCCAGAAGCTTCCATAAGGCCAGCGGCTCAGCCCAGCGCTGAGTAAGCCTGCAAGGTCCTTCCCCCTGGCTCCTGTGCCTAAGCAAGTGAGTTGACGCGAATCTTCCAGCTGTGGGGACATCTCTGGCTTCACTGCGCATGGGGAAAGGCTGGAAGGGAGGTGTCCAGGATGGGCCACATTAGTCAAGGAGAAGCCCCAGCCTTTCCTCGGGCAGCCCTCAGAGGGCCGCTTTAGGGCCAGCCTTCCACTGCCTGAGATCTTAAAGTTACTTATCTCAGCAAGTTCAAAGGGATAGGGAAGGAGCCACAGAAAGACCACACTTGCCAGAACACTGGAAACTCAAAGACAATTCCCAAAAGCAAAATAATGGCTAGCCAGAATCGAAAGTACTTTTTTTTAAGGCTGAAAAGACTTAGAATCAGTAAAAAAAAAAAAAAAAAAAAAAGCAAACCTTGACAAGAGCTTCAATTCTATGCATCTTCTTCTCCTAGCAGGAGGAGGAACTCAAGAATTTCTTCATTGGAGTGTGTCTTAGTTAAACAAAGTGAACACCCCACAGTCGTGTGGACTCTCCCTAGCCCACTGTTAGAAACTCTGATGTTTGGTGCACTCTGTGCTCAGGCTGGGTTTCACTGTAGCAAACAGCACCCCTTGGAGCCCAGCTCTGGTCAACCACCAAGCAGCTCAGCTGCCTCTAGAATGGAACTGCGTGACTAACAATGCATGTTAAAAACAACATGTGTCCATCCTGGACACCTCCGAGAACCTACAGCTTGTATCCTTTCCAAGTCAATGTTATTATCTTGCTGCTGTCAAGAAAATACAAAATTCCTAAGGCAATAGGTCTCACACATTTTGGTCTTAAGGCTCCTTTATGCTCTTAAAACTTGAGGATTCCGAAGAGGGATTATTGTTAATGTGGGTTATATCCATCAATATATACTGTGTCAGAAATCAAAACCAAGAAGTTTTTAATATTTTTAAGAGTAAATAAATTAACATATTTATGAAAACATTTTCCAAAAAAAATTTAGGATGCCATCATTTTACACTTTGTCTTATCTTTGATGGTTGCTTTAGAAAACAGCGGGATTTGAATCTCTGCTTTTACACTCAACCTGCTGCTTTGGTTGAAGCATATGAAGAAAATCCAAACACACACTGTGAAGTTGTTGGAAGACGGAATGGCATTTTATCAGCCTTTTCAGGTAATTCTTGATACTCATCTTTGATAGGACTCCACTCACCATAGGGTACTTTCTTAAAGGTTGGTTGCACAGTGTAAATAGAAATCTTACCAATGCACCTTCTGTGCTTTGCTACACTAAAAACCCAGTCTATGCTTTGAATGGATCTCTTATACCTGCATATCCCATAACATCATGCACTGGTTTTCTGGGAAAACATCGATGAGTTATATACAGCTTCTAAATGTTCAGAAAGTCATACTGGCTAATATCACACTGACCTCATCAGAAAATTCCTCTGAGTATGGGGAAGCCATGAGGCTCCTAATGTTAGACACAAGTCGATCGGCAACAAATACCATCAGCTGTTTCCTTGAGGCGACAGGTGTTCTCTGCTCACTTTAGAGAATATGTCTGCCGATTATCCATGGGGGACTAACCATGTTTGTCAGTCACCCTCTGAAGCCAAACAGTGATCCAGGAAGACAAGTGGCCAGTTCAGCTCACAATTCAACCATGCACATGCTTTGCCTCAAAACAATCACACTTCAATGTGCAACAAGAATACTGTACGGGACTTCCATTCACTGCACAGCACAGTAAAAAGATGTGTACTCAGAAGTCAGGATTTAACAAAAAGTCATCATTTTCATGTTATCTGTGACAGTCGTAGGCTGGCAATTTCTTGTTATTTTTGATTAAAAGACAACAGCAGTGAAGAAGATAGCACTCCTAACAGCGTGGTACCCCTGCCTTGACCCACAAAAGGGCCAATGGTACTCATGTACTATCAATGCAGTTGTTCCAGAATAAATCATGAAATTCCCAAAAGTTATTCAACACTTTCAATACGCTGCCAAGCATTCACTAAAAGGGGGTTCTTCCATGATGGTTTGGTGCTGACAGCAGAATATAAGCAAAGTGGTCCATCGAGCCATGACTGCAAATTCTTCCAGTTGTAAAGCCAAAATACACTTCTACTGTCAGGATCCCCAGTCTTCAGTCAGGTCTGCAGCTAACTCTAATTTGACAAAATTACTCTATCACTGGAAAAGAGCAGCGCTATGATTTCTCCCAATGCTTTTCATCCCCACAAGGCTTTGTGTTGCGTTTTGCCAGCCCGATGCAATTTGGTTAGCTTGTCCTGTTTGGTGCTTCAATACCTTTGACCATTCTAGTTTGAAAAGCTATAACAAGTAATTTTTGGCTTTTAAAGGGCTCATCTTACCTACAGCTAAGGCATTCAATTCCTTTAAAGGGCCTTGAATGGCTGGACTCAAAATGTTGCTACTAGCACCACTGTACTATTCAACATGGCTCTGTAGCATAGGACACAAACAGTAAGTGAGTAACATCTGAGACAATCTTGTACTTTGCAGATTTCTCTGGAGTATTTTCCTCCCTTCCATGAGTCAGGGACTCTGATACACTGTATTTAAGGACATGGATGGTGTAGATCTGAGGTTGAAAAATCTTCTAACATCCCCCTTTTAAACCAATGATCTACCCTGAATATAAATGTATAAATTAATATACATTTATTTTAGAAAATTCTAAGATCAAAGATAATTTCATAATATTTAAAAATTTAGAAGAGTTTTCAAATCAAGATTACAAACTACACTTACTTTTTTATTTTTTCCACAGAGACAAAGGAAGACTCTGGGATTTCAGAGTAATGACTTACTAAAAGAGAAGGAGATTCAAGATGATAGCAGGTATGGTGAAAACAGAACTACTGTGCATTTACAGGCTAACACACTTGAGTTCACCTCTAAACGTACACACGTATGTAACCTAAGCCGACTATCTCAGGTGATTCCAGAAACACAGGGATGCACAAGCATGCGTTTCATCAGCCATCAGAGGAAGAGTTCTTTGCAAGCTGTGTAACCTCTGGAAAACTCCACTCTGCGCTAGTGAGAGTAAAAATGAAAATGGCGAGTGACATCTTCATATTCTTTTATAAAGGGTCATGACCTCACAGGCCCTACAGGCATTCGCAGCAGCCCCCAGCGTTCTCCAGTTCATAGTCTGGGAACAAACGTTCTAAAGTAGAACTTGCTGTGCCAAGCCAGTTATTAAATTTATAGAGAGACACCATCAAAGAGTACTCTCAGTGCCTCCTCCTTAAAGATCAAGTGAGAGTCCACGGACTTTCTTCTCCCAGGTAGAAGCATACATTAACCGTTAACCGCAAGGGATGAAAAAGAAACAGGTCCACTGACTCTCCTCTCCCAGCTGCACTCTGACCTGCACTAACAGCAGGGCGCCAGGAAGGGGGGGCTGGAAGTGATGGAGATACACACTTGGCTGTTTGCAGAGGATCACCTTACAGCTTCTAATTTGGGCTGCTGCAAGGGCCAGCTTCCTGGAGAAGCCAGCAGGTGAGATGACAGTGAGCTTGGTTTTGCACGTGTTGGTTTTAGGCGCCAAGAGACAAAGATGTCAGCTCTCCGGGGCAACTCCCAGCAGGTAGTGAGGAATAACCAGGCAGATTTTGTCTATATTACCAAAGAAATGCAATGCTCCTGTTCTCAGAAAAATAGTACTTTAGTTTCTCAGGGGAACAAAAAAATCAACTGTGAACACTCTGAAGATAGATGATTCCTTTAATGTTTTTGAAACAGAATGTGTTATTTGAAATACCAAAGGCCAAGAAAATAGGCCTTTTCCTTAAGGATGTGTCATCTGTCCTCCCTTAATATTCCCAAAGATTTCACAAAATTTGTAAGCTCTAATCATTCTCAGCCACGGAGACTACAGGTAAAACAATGCTTCCAGTGCTTAAACACAGAACTATAAGAATCTCACCTCCAGTGGATGAGCAACAATAATGTGGCCCATAAATCCAGTGGAAATTATCCAGTCTAAAAAGGGAAATTTGGAGTAGGCATGGTGGCAAAGTGGGGTAAGCCACCACTGGGGATGCCTGCATCCCATGTCAGAGTGCAGGCTCAAGTCTCCACTGCTCCACTTCCGATTCAGCTCCTTGCTCATGCACCTGGGAGGCAGTGGCTGACGGCCAAAGTACTTGAGTTCCTGCTACCCCTGTGGGAGACCCAGATGGAGTTCTTGCTCCTGGCTTCAGCCTGGCCCAGTCCCAGCTGTTGCAGCCATTTGGGGAGTAAATCAGCAGATGAAAGATCCCTCCCTCTCTCTCTCTCTCTCTCTCTCTCAAATAAAGCAACCTTTAGGGGAAAACACAAAAGACAGAAAACTAGGAAATTTCAACAAGTGCTCATGGATACACTGCAAGGACACTCGGATAAGTGAAATAAGCTGGTCACAAAAGGACACCTAGGACATAGCTTCCACTCCTGTGAGCTACCCAAAGTAATCAAAGATCACAGAACCACAAAATAGAAGGCTGCCTGCCAAGGACTGGGGAGAGACAGGAGGGAAAATAAGGATTTAGGAGCACAGAGCCTGAGTTTTGCAACATGGAGAAAGTTCTGGAGATCAACCACATGCATGTACCTGACACTAGTAACTAAATGCTTTAAAACGTTTAAGGTGGTGTCTAAGCTGTCTAATGCTGCTTGGAATCTCTGAGGCCTGCATCCCATACAGGATCCAGTTTCTTGCTAAAGGGCACCCTGGGAGGTAACAGACAATGGCTCAAGTTCTTGGGCCCCTGCCACCCACATGGGAGACTCAGAATGAGTTCCTGGGTCCTGGTTTCCACCTGGACCAGCCTTAGTGGCTGCAGACATTTGGGGAGTGAACCTGGGGATAGATGATCTCCCTCCCCTCTTCTCTCACCCTCCTTTCCAAATAAATAAAAAAATTAAAACTTAAATTGCTAAATTGAATGTTACCTGCCTGAAACTAAAGATAAAATGCTTCTGTCTGTCGCCAGTGCCTTCATTCCTACACCCTCAAAAGTGAGGCTTCCTCCCTGCTCTGCCGGTCAGTGCTGCCTGCTCCACAGTGTCCTGGCCCCTGCCCCAGAACTGATGACCACGTCCACCCTCACTCCCCTGGGTTCTCCCACCTCAACCATCTGTTTCTTTTCTCTCTCTCTCTCTCTTTTTTTATTTTTTTAAAGATTCGTTTCTTTATTTGAAGGGCAGAGAGAGAGAAAGAAAGAAATCTTCCATCTGCTGGTTCACTCCCCAGATGGCCACATCGGCTGGAGTTGCATTGATCCAAAGCCAGGAACCAGGAGCTTCTTCAGCGCCCATATAGGATATTGGCACTGCAGGCAGAGGCTTTACCTGCGATGCCACAGTGCCAGCCCCTCAACTGTCTATCTCATTCTGCTTTAAGGAGCAAAAACCCTTACCAGACACGTTTGCAAGGCGGTCTCGGCTTTAAATTCTCTGGTTCATTAAATAATACCCTTGTCTTCTTAATGGTAGTGATTCAGGGGGAAAAAAATCAAGTACCTCGAAAGTTGATGAACTACTTGCTTTCCTGAACTTTTATTTAACCCTCATAGCAACCCCGAAACTGGGATCTCATTTTGCAGGATCAAATGACCCGCGCAAGTAGATAGATATGAACAACCAAGGGGCGAGGGGGAGGGGGTAAGGGAAACCAGGTACACTGAGCCCCCAACCCCTTCCCTCCCACCACCCCGACGGTTCTGCCCCAAGGCAAGAGATACAACCAAGTGCCTCGGAGAAGGGCCAGAGAGGAACCAGGAGCGCCTTCCCGCCGCCCTTGGCCCCCGCAGCTCAGCACCGCTCCTCCGCGCCCCCTCCGCAGGAGGAGAGCACCCCGTCAGCCAGGGGTTCCAGGCCGGGCGCCGCCGCTGCCTCTCTGCGACTTGGGTCATCACCATAGCAAACCCCAGGTTTCCTCATCTTCTGAAAGGCAGCAATGCTAGTATCACCATATCAGATCTAGGAATCGCAGCCAGCCTAAGAAAAGCACCTGGCAAACTGCTCGGACCGGTGTCAATCTCCATCCATGATAAGTGTTTTTTTCTTTGGTTTTTAACCCCTGACCCAATGAAAAATCTGGACGTCCCGCGAGACTGCTCCGAAAGCCAGAGAGGATGGGGACAATCTCCCGGAGCTCGCACAGGGAGCTACACCGGGTCCCAGAGGGCAGTCTGGCTCTGCGGGGCGGGCGGCCCTTCGCCCGTCCACACCCGCCCACCTCGGCGCCCGGGGCCAGGACCAGCAAGACGCGGGGGCTTCAGGCGCACGCGGGTCTCCACGCCGCAGCCGGGCCCCCTGCGGAACAGATGCGGAGTCCCATCCTCCCGGGGCGCTGGCTCAGTGGAAGACCGGGCAAACTGGTTTTGTAGGAGCAGCCGTGCCCGCCCCCATTCCCTGCAGAGGGGGACTTCCCGAAAGCAAAAGGGAACGCGTGTCGCACCCAGGCCCTCCCCCACCTCGGGCCCCGCCGGACCTCCCAGCTCCAAGACAATCGCCGGCGCCCCGCTTTCGCACCCGGAGTGCAGAGTCTGCGGCGCCGCACCTACACGCACCGGCTCCGGCCAGTCACGGGCCGCAGCGGGCTTGCGCTCCGAGACGGGGACTCTGCTCCCCCGGCACTCGCCCGGAGAGAGATGCCGGACGACCGCCCGCACTGACCTTCCGCCGCGGCGCCGGAGCCCGGGAGAGAACGCGCTCCGTGCGAGCGCAGCCGGCAGACAGGAGCACGCAGCAGTCGCCGCGCCTTTATCCTCTCGCCGCCCGAGCCCGCCCCTCCACGCACCAATCCCCTGGCGCGGCGCAGGCTCTCCCCGCGGAGCGCGCCGGTTGCCACGGTAACGTCTCCCTTCCCCGCCTCCCTCCGCCACCCACAGCGGGTCCCGGAGCGCACCCTTCAAGCTCACACCGCACCGAGAGGAATCCAGGGACGGATGGGGTCTCCCGCGCGCTCATCCCCTTCCCCGACGGCAGCGGCACTTCCACGCGGCAGAACCAGGTCCCCCGTAGCCACTAACAGCGAACTCGGCGCTGGGCTTTCCCGGCTCCCGGAGCCGGTTGATCTGCGAAAGGAATGCGGACCGCATAGACGACAACTGGGGAGATCTGCTTAGGAAACGGCCCAGGACCCGGATTCCAAAGGTCGGTCCTGGAGAGACCTGGACGAGGCACTTCATTCCGATTATTTAGCTGGGAAACACCGTTTTTCAAATTGGACGATTACTCCTACCCCCAGGCTAAGGATCGGGAAGCTTGCTGGAAATGCAGATTCTCAGGCCCCACTGCAGCCCAGTGGGGTTGAACCCGTGGGGGTGGGGCCGAGCCTTCCTGGCCTGCGCTGGCTTGAGGAGTGCGTGTGGAAGGCAGTGGTTCTCAAACTCCGCAGCATGGTCCAGTTACCCGGATAGGTTTTGAAACTTGCCGAACAACACCCCAAGCTAGTTGGAGGTGTTGCTGTGGAACCCCCAAACTGGGTCCACTAGGCAGACGCGCGGAAGGCCAGTCACTGACGTGGAGGCGAAGCACAGAGCGAGGATTAATCCCCGAGTTCCTGCGGGAGTTAGGGGTGAAGGCTCTTAACGATTGAAATTGGGGCTGCAAGGTGCGTGATGAGCACGTATTCAAGTCCCTGGTCAGTGGGTGGCGCTCCTGACCTTCCTCTGATTGGTCAGTGTTGTCGTGTGCTTTAGGGGATGTGTGGTGGCCTGGTGGGCTTCAGTGGGTCTGGGGGTTACAGGAAGGAGGCAGCAGCATTCTGCCTGGACCTGGAATGCCCCTACACAGACCATCCGGGACAGTACTGGCCATCAGGGTTCTTGGCTGTTGGAGAAGCACCTGACTCCTTGTCTGTGTGATCAACAGCTTGCAAGGCCATTGGATCCACTCCCTCAAGTCGGTGAATTCCTTTTGATAAAGGACAGGCAAGGCACCTGTGGGGAAGGCAGAGGACAAAAGCCTGGGTCCCAGTTTCACATTCTATGTGTTTGGCTTCAAAACTTGGGGTGCCCGCCAGGCTGCACACCAAGGCTGGATGGGTACCGGAACAGCATGAGGCCCCCGGCTGCGTGAGGCTGGGCAGCAAGGACACGGAAGAAGACGTTTATTAGAGTGGCCGCTGGAGGAAGGCAGCCGCAGCCGGCCCAAACACGCTCTTCTCCGACCGGCAAGCTGGCAGGAGAATCTTTCAAAGAGGAAGGTGGTTGTGGAGGGTCAGGGAAGACGACCCTGGACCCTGGAATCCTTAGGCAAACAGAGAAAGCTACAAGACTAACCACAGGAAGGCACAAGGGGACCAATTGGTTTTTGTTAAAGTGTGAAAAGCAGGGGAGGGAAGATGCACTTGTTGAAGTTACCAATGGCCCACCTGCGACTTTCCATTCTGCATCTCTGGGCTGGGGGTGGCGACACCATTCTGACTGCTTCCTTCTGACTGGTGGGCTGAGGAAGAGGAGGTTTGTGGCTGTTACTGTTGTTTTGGAATGGAAGGTTTACGACATGGTGAAATACATCTTTGGTTCTCCCCTTTCAGGGACAAGTCAAACATTTGTTTGATTGTTAGTTTAGATGTTTGCTTACAAAATTTCTGTATACATAGCATAATGACTTTAGTCCTCTGTAAATTCATGATACTATGGGTGATTCCAGATGGTATCCAGGAAAATAAATGAGAAAACCAGTCTCTAGCTCCTTGGAAGAGGGTAGGTTTAACTTAGATAGTTTGTGCATGATTTCTCTTGCAGGTGTATCATCATTTTACAGCAGTAATAAAAGCAACAGCATGTTAATATTCCGATACCTAAAATGCAGATTAGAAAGGTTGACAGTTTGTCGCCCAGCACTTTCAATCCCCAATCAGTGGAGCCCTGGTGTGGGGGCCAGGCACAGTAAACTGGGTGGGCGTATCTCAGAGAGCTAGGAATGTGTTCCCAGAGCCTTTAGGGTTGCACGAAGGCACAGACTTCCCCTTCGGGTGGCAGCGAGGGTATTTTAAGTCATTTGGCTTTGGAGTATCGCCTTCCTCGGTAGGAAACCTCTCACGTCTGACAAGAACAATCATCTTTCCTCCTAATTAGCCCAGTAAGCATGTAAATACAGAAACAGCATACTTGGAGTAGGTATATATGTGGACTCTCTTGCATCTTCCAAGGCATAAGGCAAGGGGGAGGGCCACGAGGTTAGCCTTTTGGGCAGCAGTATCTGGCAGCAATGCTCTTTTTTATTATTTATTTATTTGACAGATAGAGTTCGACAATGAGCGAGAGAGACAGAGAGAAAGGTCTTCCTTTTCTGTTGGTTCATCCCCCAAATGGCCGCCTTGGCCGGCGCACTGCGCCGATCCAAAGCCAGGAGCTAGGTGCTTCTTCCTGGTCTCCCAGACAGGTGCAGGAGCCCAAGCACTTGGGCCATCATCCATTGCCCTCCCGGGCCACAGCAGAGAGCTGGACTGGAAGAGGAGCAACCGGGACTAGAACCCGGCGCCCATATGGGATGCCGGCGCCACAGGCGGAGGATTAACCTAGTGAGCCACAGCACCGACTCCAACGGCAATGCTCTTGCTTCCAGAGTTTCCTGAAAGGTTACTATTGCGTACTTAGCCTTTTAATTTCCCTAATCCATGAAGTTGTTTTCATCTATAAAGAATTTCCAACCTGGAGCTTCCAATGAGACGTCAGTCAGGTACAACCTGCTGTACCTGGGTCCCCGGAAGGCTCTGGATGCAAGGTGGCTGGATTTAAAGATGATGCAATTTTTAGAGTAGTGTTTAGATGATCAGATAATATGGCTCAGTGTTTCCCAGACAGCCGCAGTGAGCCAGGAACCTTCCCCTTGTTCCAGAAGCGGCAGTGCATGGTGAGGTGGGCTGCCCCGGAGTGCACCACTCTGCCTCCTGCAGAGCATGGCAGGTGCCTGCTGGTGTGCCCAGACAAGCTGTCGGCCTCAGGTGACTATGTCCAGGCTCTTAGAAAAACACATCATTGGGCAGTTCCTTCTTCAGATTTTGCATCAATAGTCTCAGCCTCATCTCACCCTTGCCTCCTGTTTGCAAAGTAGTCCAAGAGCTCTCTGGGATCTACCCGCCCTAGGAAGGGTGCTGGATACAGATTCTAGCCTGAGGTGTGAGGAGTGCAAGCAGCGGGCCTGGTTAGCTTATCTTCGGAGTGGTGACCCTCTGTGGAGGCGGCAGCTCTGGCAGCATATTGTGACGGTGAGTCTCAGGCAGTCATGCATAAGAACCCTTTCTTCATAACGGTTGACACCAGTGACTCCATCTTAACTTCCTGATTCTCCTCTTGATATCTTTTTGCTGAAAAACACCATCGATCATCATCCTATAGCTAAGCCCTGCCTGTGTGTCAGCATCAACTTCCTCCTGATGTTTGGTCTTATCTGGTCCCACAGATGGGGGAGGGGTGGAGATTGCCAACCAGGAGAGAGTGTCAGAAACCCTTTGACAGTCCCTCAACAAAGAGATAGAAAGAGGGGGCCGTAGGTCAAGTTTACCTGCAGTCCTTTGTAAAAATAGCTATCATTTCGGGGAGCCGATAGCCACCATCTCACAGCATGATCTTGCTGGCAGTTGTCATTTTGTAGAATTTTTTTTTTTTTTTTTTTTTTTTTTTTTTTTGACAGGCAGAGTGGACAGTGAGAGAGAGAGACAGAGAGAGAAAGGTCTTCCTTTGCCGCTGGTTCACCCTCCAATGGCCGCCGCTGCAGCCGGCGCACCGCGCTGATCCTGGCAGGAGCCAGGAGCCAGGTGCTTTTCCTGGTCTCCCATGGGGTGCAGGGCCCAAGCACCTGGGCCATCCTCCACTGCACTCCCTGGCCATAGCAGAGAGCTGGCCTGGAAGAGGGGCAACCGGGACAGAATCCGGCGCCCCAACCGGGACTAGAACCCGGTGTGCCGGCGCCGCAAGGTGGAGGATTAGCCTATTGAGCCACGGCGCCGGCTCCATTTTGTAGAATTTTGACAGGCAATAAGCCCAAAAGTCAAAAAGGAAAATATTTAACAAAATCAACAAGGACAGAAAAAATCAAGTTTGCATGTTAAAAACAATAAAGAGTTACAGTCTTATAGCTAACATATTGTAGTTTGTTGACTATTCACCTTAAGAACAGTAGGAAAAGCTGATTTACTACACGGTAAGCTCAGATTTAAAAAACTCTCAAAGTCAGCAAATCTAACCAAGACAGAATTAATTTATTTTTTTCTCTTTTACAACTATAGCACCTCATCTTTTGAAGTTCCAGGGCCTACTAATAGTAACAATTTTATTTGCTCACCACTATGTGGAGCTCTTGAAATCAGGCGTTCCATATATATTTTTAGATATACCAGTGTTTCTAATTGTGTTCTATTATGAAGAGAACAGATGCTTACTGAACCCCTGTGTCATGAAAAGCAGAAGCACTCATATAAGTTTTCAAATTTTGAAGCATTAAGTAGAGAAAGCGTAAATCCTTTTCATCTTTGTTTACAAAGACATGGTTCACCAAAGTCTTGCAAACCCTAGTCTTTCAAACAGAAAAAAATCTTTAAACCTGAAAGACAAAACATTTAAGTATACTGGGGCTGGCGCTGTGGCGCAATAGGTTAGGCCATGACCCGCAGCGACAGTATCCAAAATGGGCACCAGTTTGTAGCCTGGCTGTTCTTCTTTTGATCCAGCTCTCTGCTGTGGCCTGGGAAAGCAGCAGAGG